ATACAATACACATGCACACACAGTAGACTAGATAGAGACATACATGACATACCAGACATGCAGACAGACGGATATACATACCAGACATACATACCACCAGACATACATACCACCAGACATACATACCAGATATACATACCAGACATCACGCCAGACATCATACATGCTCTCTACATATAATACGTACATATCATACGTACATATCATACGTACATACATACTACATACATACATATATATGTACATCCATACATAAATGATGTATATAAATATATAATATTCATTATGGCTATGCAGGTATCAGTGGGCGTGGTTGACAGGTCTGCGTGGACAATAGGATTGGATTGTTCCCTATAACTTACTTATCAGCATCTGATAGTCAGCGTAACCCAAACAATTCCATTTATGCGTTCTACGGAAATAAACCATTGGACCTTTCTATGAATGCGCAAATCAAAAGTAGTACTGATATCAGCCCATCGAATGACACATTGTTGATAATATGACTATGAACTGCTGAATTGAAACCGGAACCGATCTTTTATTTTTTTTTATCAATCATTTTTTCATCCCCACTCCGATTATATACATTGTGTGAAACATTATCGTAATTTCATACTAAAAAATCACAATGACAAAAAAATTAGCGATCTTACTGATCTTACTGTGTTAAGAACAATAGACTATTTGTTAGTCCCGTCAAAAACTATAATCCAAGTATAGTATCGACGATCCAGAATCAATAACGTTCTATGCATAAAGCTACGGATATCAAATACTTATAGTTCACTCGTTGATGTGTTTGCACTTTCAAAACAATTAAGGTTATGCTATCTATCTATCTATGCTATGCTATGCTATGCTAATGAGGACAATATAAAAAACTCTCCCCTTTCCCTTCTTTTATCCCCTTTTTACCGATTCGGGTAAAAAAAAAAAAAAGACTATAGGCATTTTAAGAGTAAACAAACGCTTTTAAACATCTCGATTTCCTTTCACGGAAATTTGCTTCCAAGTTCTTTTCACACATTCTTTTCGATCGTATGTGGAATACCAAGGACCCAGAACTGTCAAACTTTCGTTTTATATCAATATGGTAAACAGGGGCGGATAAATCATGCTAATACCACGTATACTAGACGATAATGGAATACGCTTTGATAGGTGGATTTGGTGCGTCTATGATGTCAAAAGACTGTATACTTTTTTTGTTATGTTATTTGCAAAAGTAAGTTAAGTTGTGTTGTTCTTATGTAACCGTACGTTTATGTATATAATTATAATTATGTACATTTTACTTGATCGATTATTGTATATATGGTATCAATCATCATTCCATTTACTGCATGCCATGCTTATCTTTTTTTTTTTTTCCTCCCCCCCCCCTCCCTCCTCTCGCCTTTAACTATTAATGGGTTTACATACCCTGATGTCTACTGTACTCGCTCTCTCTTTCACCATCAGACAATGCTTCGGTGAGAAACTTTTAAGTATCTATTCCCGATCCCAAAATTTCCATTGAAGAAAAAAAATTTTTTTTTTCTTTTTCGAAAGACCAAAAAGATTGCTATTCACAGTATTCACAGGGTATTGTTTACTAGCCATATATTTAAATCTGCTGTGCCATATGACTTTTGAAACAGATAAAAAAGCCCAGTATTAAATAAATAACTTGTAAATTACATCATTGTATACAATTATTGTGATAATTGATTTACTTGATTGAATATTTATATTACATACCCTACATCAAAAATATCATATGTTTTCATACTGATAACAAATATATTCCACAAGCTTTATTGAAACGGGTCTGAGCATATGTTTTTGGACGGGACCCTCAAACTCACGCACGGACCAATTAGATGACAGCTCAACTCGAAGGTTTTCGAAAATTTGACATGTCTGAACAGCCGAAACCCCATCGAGACAAGAGCAAACGTCGGTTGCTTGTTTCTGTTTCTGTTTCTGTCGCTATTTCCATTTCCATTTCTATTTCCGCTTCCGTGTCTATTTCCACTTTTTCTATTTCCCTGTCTCTGCCCATATTAATATCGTCAATACGAGTAGAATAGCAAATTCGGGCCCTTTATCAACACACAAAGCCTTCTTCAAACCTTTTGTTTCCTGACATGCTTTGTTTCGGCGATTTACTTTTTACAAAAATTCCAAACAGTGTTCCATCTCTGAACTTCACATGTTTGTACTGGTCCCAAGCATAATTCTCAACATCATTCACACACAAAGGGACAAAAACGCCTACGTGCATTATAAAGTATAAAAAAAATTTTTTTTACACTGCCATAGTGTAACAACGTTTCAGTATGTATGCACCATTCGGATTATGATTGGTTAACGTAATCGGTCAAACAAAGACGATAACATCTGAATGTGCCACCATATAAACGAGGCTTGTTTCCAAAGAACAAATGGATATCACCATAATGATTGTATCCATTGTCCAAATAAATGAATAAAGTTATATGCTTGCTGCCACATGACTAAATGATAGCAAATTTCCGCATTATGGTATTGTAAAAGGATGAACCCGGTCACCCTCGTGTGTATATGTACGTCCGTACGTATGTATGTATATGTATGAACACAAGTTTGAGACATGTTGTAAAGAGACATGTTACGGTGTGTCATACCCAAAGATATCATCACATCAACAACGTTCAACCATTATCATCAAACGTTTACAACCCAACTCTTGTATTCAAACGACTCGTAACAATGCAACTCTTTTTTTTGCTCCCACCCCTCTTATCAGATAATGACGTTTTACCAGATATCTGTCCTGGTTAGAAACCTGCTTTTTTGTCCGCCATCCTCAATGACAAAAAAATCGGTTATATCCAAAGATTGTTCCCTGTTCGATCAAGGCCAAAAATCAAGAATACCAACAGGTTTTACCATCTTTTTGGATTAAAAGAATGCAAATATTTATAACCAACTATTGGTGACAGTTTCGATCAAGTGGTCGCCAAGAATTACAAATTCAGAAACTGAGCTGTGAGGTATTCGTCATTCGATCGAATGATGATGTCATAAGGTCCTGTGTTACCCAATTGAAAATCTTTGAGGCTGCAATGCGAGCAAAAGCTAATTTAGATTTCCAACAAAAAACCCTCACCCATTGTTGGTAATGAGTCAAAATTCGTTTATATGCTATAAACGGATTAGCAGACGCGCAGATTTACGTATTCGTCATAGATGAAAGACGCTTATATTTAGTGGCGTGAAGATCTCATTTCTCTTTGCCATTCAGTGTAATTTCCGTTTGTAACGTCACGCGACGTCCAGGAAGGAGAGCGAGAGCCCGGGTAATAGATTGGGTGATCGAATTCCCTAGTACCCCCTGGATGTCCATCGATCATAAGTATTTGGGCGCGTGCAAACTGTGTATTATAACTTGGATTTGGTCACGAATATATGACCATGAATACATGTCCATTCTCTCTTTCTTGATTCGCATATGAAAGGGTAGATTTGCAATTATTTAACACCAGGTGAAGTATATTGATGCGCATCCTGCGGATAGGTATATTGTTTTAATATTGAACCGTTCAATATATGAGAAGATATCCAAGTACGTCGCGCGTTGACGACTTTTGATTACGTACGTAGTATAAACCTTGACAATAAGAGTCCTACACCACAACTTGTTTATCAATATTGGTCGAGTATATACTTATTGCACATACTAGAGGAGTATATATCTTTCATATAAGAACATTACCTCTTGCTTCCGGGAATATATTTTCACTTTAAAGGTCGAAATGCAAAGATCGATCTTCCCCCTAATAGTGAGGAGCTAATACTAACTGATGTTTAAATTTTTTAGAAAAATGAATTGAAGCATCTTTCGACGGATTAAACAATTATTGCACATAAACTTGTTCTTTAATTTGAATTGGCCTAGTTATTGACAAATTATATATTACGACTCACAAATCTATAACCCGTGTCTACCGGCATACATAATTAACGCTTTTTATATTTTATAGCCATTCCGAACGATTTAATGACAAACCGTTTTTATAGTTAACCCATCTTTCTTTTGTCCGAGTGAACTCTATGAAACTCACTTGCAGACTGTAATTTTAAATCACATAAAACATGATTTAATGGTATAGCAACTCGATATGCCCAGGTTTAAATGACATGAAACAGGGCGAGTAAGACATGAAAACGGTATTATGCTTGCTCTATCTCGTCATAATTCATCGATGATACTCATATTAAGCGATATTTTGATTGTGCAGCGATATCTCATTAGTCTTTGCCATTTCGTCGGATAATTGTTTCATATCGTTGCCTATATATACTTGGCATCTGCTTCATAAGAAGCTATTACTATTATTATTACCCCCCGGGCTACGTGACGAATATCAGCCAAGGTTTAATATTACAGTTTACGGTTAACACCACCGATACCGAAAATTTTTTTCTACTCTTTTGTCTGTTGTTTAAGAAACTTTTCACAAACCGAGAAAGATATGATGGCAACCGAATTGAAGCACAACCGTTTGATGTCAAAAAATTCTATGGCTCAGAGGCTAAACGAGAGGTGTAAAGACGAAAGGATGTAATATCAGATCGAATTTCACCGATATGCGTTCCTTGTAAAAAAATCGTCACGGCAGGATCTTCGGGGCGTTTCACGTCAAAATAATTAAAATGTTATTAACAAATAAATTTAAATCGCTTTTATTCGTACTATAGCCCAGCTGATTCAGCAAACATCCCCGATGATTGACAGTTGTAAAAAAAAATGCCAAATTTCCCTTCCAACACACCCATCCGCACACAAACGTATATATATATGTATGCGGCGTTAACCCCAGTTCAGAAATAAAATGAAAATTTGGTAACGCTACCCATACAAGTGTCAAGGTAGACGTATATATGCGCGTCCCAAATCACCACTCGTTTTAATAACCTCCGATTCTATACTATACAACTCTTTCAAATTACGTTTCGTTTTTTCGCTCGCAATGGATCTATCATGGTGCCCAGCCTGTGACAGGCAGTTTTTTGTTACAAATTCATTGTATTGTAGCGAAGAATGTCGACACAAAGACGCCTTATCTACATCACCTTGCTCAACGCTGCCCCACTATGGTTTCTCGCGATGCTCCTCTCCGAAATTCGCTCACTCTCCACTCGCGTCTCCCTCTTGGTCTCTATTAAGAAACCCGCCCGCATCAATAACATGTGATTCATTAAAGATTGATAGTCATTTTCGAAAAGATGAGCCGTCCACTTTGCCCGAGGGAGTTTTGCTGCTGGGTCGTCGTAACGCAATTGAATGCAATCCGCACGGAGAAGCGGCACCACACGTATCTTTTACTTTAATTAATGCGAGCGCTGTTACTACCGCTACCGAGACGACATTCACTACAATAACTGTCGAGACTAGAGAAATACAAGTCGGATTAGCCGGTCTACCGATTAGAAAGAAACAATCGTTCATCAAAAGTGCCTGGAGCATGTTCTTTGCCTAGAATAGCAGGAATAGAAAATAGATTCTATCGCATAGACTGCGAGTTTAAAATTACGTAGAATAGAGTTTGTGTTATACATGTATTGCTAAAATGAACAACTCGCAAGATTGCATGATGTTATAGTAAGCGTAATTGTACTTTCCATGACTGTATATACTGTAGATTGAAATCTCACTAAAAAAATAAACACATGTTTCAAAACTGTTATTGACATGCACTTTGACGCTTACAACTGTAAAATGTTATACAAATGATTTCTTAATTACTACAGCGGTTTATGTATGACTGTGTGATGAAAACATGTCAAACTTTGCTCATAAATAATGCAAGACGGGATAACGTGTTGAATTTGTTATGTATGACTTGTTATAAAACGTACATTTGAAAATTTGTTTGCCGTGCTAACATGCTTGCTCAGTAAATTTTAATGCAAATAAAATAGTATAAACATGGTTGATGTGCAACAAGCAATTAATAAATAATGCAAATAATATGTATCAACATGTCTTTTAAATGCGTCTATGCTGCACACGGCGACAGCCTAACAAAGAATCCGAAAAGTTTTCGGAGCGAAGCAAGTCAAAGAGCGATCGCTTCTTTGCTGCTGCACGAGGAGGATTAAGAGCTTCTGTAGAACGCGAGGTGGATGCCCTTGAAACAAAAGTGTTATGAAATAATATTAGTATCCTATTTTATCACATATTAATTTTACTAGACTCAAAACCTACTGGCTGTCCTTATTGTTTGTATCTGGAGTTTGTTGGACGGAAAGCCTTGATGCTTGTTCTGGCCGTGATTCTAAATTGAAAAGTATACTTGTTTCAGTCAACAATGTTATTGACAGATGTAACCACCAGTTTTTTGTTTGTTGTGTCAATTTACCTTGTGAATCCTGAGCCGCGCAACTTTGCCTTGGTATGCTAATCAGTCGAGGTGGCGAACGACGTAATACAAGCATAGCCTGGGTCGCTCTTACCGTCCACGAGGGAGCCTGGTAAGCATGTCGTGCATAAACCCTCGCACGCTCCCATAGCCGATCTTGCTCCTGTTCGCGTGAAAAGGTAACAACATGCTGGCGTACCCATAACATTGTAACGCGTTGCCGGACCTGCGCTTCTTCCCTGCGCTTTTGTTTCCATAGCCCATACCAAGGCGAAAGATATCTATTATCATCCCATCGCGGCAGTTCACGCCAACGTTGAAAAGCTAGGCGTCTCTTGCGTTCTTGATACCTCTGCCACTCTTCGCTCCTCAGATACTCATGACGGCGCTTCTGCCAGTCATGCTGAAAGATGGTCAAAACTAGAATAAAAAATGCATAAAAGAGGAAAAAAGCGTAAGCGGGGCAGTAGTCCTGACCCGCAGGACTACTCGTTAACTCGCAACAAACAGCAAAAACACTCGACGTGACCAGCGCGTCAAAATATCGCTTCCAAGAAGAAGCGAGCAACGAGAGCCAAATTATTCCAGCTGCGTTTAGCCGTATTGCTACAGCAGAGTATGGAGCAGTTAGAAGGTCTGGTAGTCTGTTGTAGGGCGCCATTTTGTAAAAGCGTAAGGCGTGTTGTTTACCTGCAGCGACCGTTTAAATAGGAGTAATCACATGAGGCAGTACGGGGGTTGTTTATAACGCCATATAACCCCTGTTTAACTCTTGAACATTACCGCCGATTACGGATACATTAGTAAATAATTTGTTCAAATGTCCATTTTTAGTATATTATTTGTGGCCGGACCTAAAAACTTGAGGTTTCTTCTATAGAGCAAACAAGTTCAGCGCTTGGCGAAAGTACGTGAGCTCGACAAAAACGGTGAATGTACGCGTCAGAAATATAAAGGTTGATTTGTTGAGTTTTTTTCATAGGTCAACAGTTCTCGTGTATAGCGAATTTCTCTTGAAAAAAGGTTTGCCTTACGAGCAGCTGCCGCTTTACCGTATGCGAATATAAAGTTTTTATAATGATGATATTGCGAAACTATTCGTGGCTGACACTTGGAGTAATTGCTTTCGTAAACAGCAAGCGAGATTTTTGGCATTCGGCACTCAGAGAGACAATTTTCTTATTCGCACACATTGTCCATTGAATGTTGCACGTTTAATGTCACCAACGCTAAGGCCAACGAGATAATGCACGGGACATAAACTTTATTTTAACCAGTAATATATAATCGTGCCACCATATCATGCTCTCGCTTTACAACTGCGTCGCATGCACCTGCACAATGCGCCTTGGCTGCTTGCTTGCTTCTCTAATGTTATATATTTCTCAATTCGGGAAATGCTGCTTTTTTATCAAATCATACATAATCTTTAATTCGTGATCTTACAAGCTAATGTGTTCTGATTGGATGATCGGAAGAATGTTTTGAGCAATCAAATCCAATGCCAGTATTATACCACATGTCTCGATTCATTCGGCGATGCGTTTGCTATGGAAAGGTGACACTAGCGATAAAGACTTTTTTATAATATAGACTTACATTTTGTAAGGGCTTTTGAACTCTTTCCTCAGTGTCGAATAATCATCCTATCTTGTTTATATTATTTCTTTATGTATTTCTTTATTTATTTATAACATTTATTTATTTATAACATTTATTATTGTCATAAAGAAAGTTCGCTATGATTGTGGAGGCGAAGAGTCACTATTACTATTTTGAGTCTGCAATAAAGATTGGATGAAACCCAGGAATCTATTGCCATATTCGCCTGGTTCCACTGCTGATATACCGTTCTGCAATTTGAAAATTTTGTGTCAGTAGGAACAGAGGAAGAAAGAAGAAAGGGGAAGGGAAAGGGAAAGGGAAAGGGAAACGGGAAACAAACGGAGGTAAATATGTAATATTACCTTGTCGTAGCTTAATGACTTCCATGCATGCTCTATTTTCTTTACAAAGTTATAGGGTGTTAAAATGTCGATAATTCCCAAATAATATATGTAGTTCTTAGGCGAATTGTCTTCGTCAGTTGCTGCAAAACCACCGTCATCCGAGTAGAAGATACAATGGCTACGTCTAAAATATCCAAAAAAGAAAAAGTTATTTAATGTTAAGGAAACGATTCCTCTTTAAACCTCACATAATCTTTAGCTTACTCTGAGAATGCATCAAGACTGAGTTTTGTGGATGAAGGACCCAGCTTTAGAGGGTCCGTAGTTTTTACTGCCTTTCGCAATTCAGAAACAGTCACTTTATTCTCCCGCTTATGATTTGATGGCACTCGGTTGAGTTTCTTCGTATCCGGCTATTCGTGATGTTATAATAGAACATTTTAGACTCGTTTGCACTATTGCAGGCTCGATCAACGTTTATTAACACAGCTTATACCTGAAACACTGTTAAGATATCTTCTCGAATATTGTCCTTGTTTCCACGCGTTGTGTCGTGCAATCCAACTAAAAGACTATAGTCCATTATATTCAATCGTTCGAGCAGCTGCAAGCGAAAAAAAAACATAAGAACGTCATGAGGGCATAAATCATTTAGAACAACAATCCAGGCTCTTGCAGTTTGGGAAATTTGTTTAAATCGATCTCATCTTGTGAACACTTCCCCCATCGCGTCCCAAGTAAATATGTTGGTTAGAAAATGTACAAACCTCTACATCTTTTTTAAGTTGTTTAACAAACAATTCTTGCTTGACTGGACCCAACTCCAAATGCCTGTCTCTTTTTAACCAGTTAAGATCTTTGAGAACGGCTCGTGGATTCTTCTTTGCTTCTTCTTCAGGATATTCACGCCCTATTGTTGACCCCTGAAGAGCATAGCAACGATTGCTTCATGTTAATGATTCACATCACTGAGGTCCCAAACATAATACAGAGTCGCTAAACACCTTCAAATCGTATATCTCATGAATGTCGCGATGCGGAGGAAAGATGTTGTTCATTACGACAAAGTGTATCTTGCGCCCGCGTGGCAATTTTACTCTGTGGAGACCATAAAACCGAGAAAGAAGTGTATGTGGATTTTCCTTCACATGCTTTGTTCAAAATAAAGGTGATAGGTTATTGTCTATGTCAATACAAGGAAAAACGGCCGCATTGTAATAAATATTCACCTCATAGTAATCTTTTAGTATCTTGCGCATAAATTTATGCTCCGTGTTATGTATTGTTTTTATAATAAACCGATAGTCTCTGGAAAAGTAAAAGAAACTTCCGCTTTTCCCAGGCGATCCTAATTCAGACAAGATATATTTGCTTGTCAGGGATACCAAGTAATCTGCAGCATCAATATGAAATATCGATCGTAGATTGCGGAAGACCCACGGAGCATAATCTTTAAACTTGAAGTCATATTTTGCAGACGGTGTGAGTTCGTTGCCCGTTCTATTATGGCATAGGTTGACGTCGAGTTAGTTCATACACGTATACATTTGTTATCTGAACTTGGGGACATTCTCTTCGAGTCTGAACATTATACAAATCTTTCAAAAAATAGTTCCGTGTTCGATTGACAATGAATGCAGTTGAAAGATTTCGATGGATTGAAGATAGGAATTGTTGAACAAGGGAAAAGGTTCCCCGTGATCCTAATTACTCAACCTCAATCTCATTATTAACCACTTACATATCGAAAGCCAATTTGTGTGCAGCGGTGAAATCTACATCAGTTAACGGTCTCTGCGGTTTCGCATTGCAGCGCGAGACCTATTTAAATAGAACGAACACTCAGCATACAGAAATAACATTTTTTTTCGTTTCGAATTTTCTTTTTCCAATTATCAATTGCGCAAGAAGCTTCATAGCTCCTACAATTCCGCATGTTATATCTCATAGCATTACATACACCAACTCGTATTCCTGTTAACATGTTATACATAAGAACGTAATTGACATGATCTTCATCAATCCTGGTCCCTATAACCACTCTATCGGTATCCTCATCTTTGTCTTTACGTCTTCGTGATGTGCGTCGCTGTTTCTTGGCTTGCTCAGACCATTTTTGGGTCTCGTTTTCCGACGGTGAAATAGATCCTCTTATATGATCAGCCAAATCTGCACTGTAAGTGTTGCGTCTATGAACTTTCTTCCGAGTTGTGATCTCGGATTGACCTTCATCATCACCCTCCGGTAAAATAGTAACGAATGTATCGTTCCTCTTGGCTTTAGAGGAATTTCGTTTTATATCATTTTGTTCAGAAATAGCGGATGTGCTGCTTGGTCTTTTTTTTTCTGATGGTGTCGTAAAACTTCGCACGGGTGTTTTATGTGTGCGTATTGAGAATTCTGATGTAGATGGACTATGGCGCGATGATTCGCGAGAGTTCGAGCCATCATTCGTAACTAAATTGGTCTTGGCTGTTATCACATCTACGGAGCCAGAAATATTCTCAGTTGAATAAGTGACTGTATTACTATGAGTTTCTATACTTGAAGTAATAACAGAATGTCCATTAATAGGTTCAACAACATTGCTCGGCGGAGCGTGCTTCCGTTCAAGCGGTGGTTTGTCGAATTTTCGTTCAATATGAGTATCAGCTCCGTTTCCTTTGAAATCTTTGAACGGTTAATATCGAATCGAGTTAGTAAACAGACACAAGTAAAACGACCCGAGCACAGGCGATTATGAGACATGTCTTTACCATTCGCTGAATGCTTATTTGAAGAGTCTGTAGTGGGAGCAACCATCATAGTTGGGATCCTCAACTTTTAGACGCAATGTAAAGAATGTGGCAAGGTTGTTTGTCAATCAAAATATGCAGTATACTTGTAGGTCGAAAGAGATAATTATAGAAAAGGTAGAATTTCAGTAGGAATAAGGGTACCAAAAGACGCAGAGGAATAAAACGGAACCTGTCCCAACCTGTTATAACACCTATAGAACGTTATAATTGTAAATAAAAAAGAAGGCGGGAAAAGGTGATGGAGGTAAAGTTAAGATGAGGGAGAGGAATAATAGGTAAGACAACAGTAAAGCAAAACTTCAAAAAGTCAAAAGTGGGAGATTGTAACAGCTGGGTTTGCGATAAGAGTGGAGACGAATATTCATGGTAGTGATCACAAAAGGACAAATTTAGCACGGCTTCCATTTCCGTGGCGCAGACCACGTGTAGTTTCTTTACCTCGTTTAGCTTTTTATTTCCTAACTCTTTTTCTCCGGCAGTTCTTCCTCAACCTTAACGCATGACAAAGCACAAGCATTTCACCAAACTAGTCGACGAAAGTGAATCTTCCCTTTCCAATCCCTCGATCCCTCTCCAGTCACTTACCTCTTCCAGCCAGGTTCACATATCTACCCCGCAGTCTAGTGATACCCCTCATGTAGTCAACGTTCGAGGAGGTCCTGTTCCAGGTGTGGACCTTGAGACAGAGTGGCCATTGACTGAGTTGCCGGAAGAGCTGCGAGAACCAGATGATGACAACGATAGAGCGGCAAACAACACTGAAGCGAATTCAATGAGGACTAATTGGAAAAGAGAGTTATTCTTGTTACTGGAAGATCCGTCGAGTAGTCGCGCTGCGTTTAGTGTGAATGTGTTTGTGAGCTTTTCGATCGTGTTGAGTGCGGTCTTGACAACAATTGAGACTATTCCTTCGTTCCGAGCAACAGAGAGCTACGTATGGTAAGCAAAAGCTCTTTTTTAATTGTGAATTTCACTCTACATTTTATTCAATATTTATTTTTTTTTTTTAGGTTTAATTTCGAAACGACAATTGTCTTGATATTCACAATTGAATATTTTTTACGCGTCGTTGCACACTCGGATTCTGCCAAACAATTACTTAGATTCGTCACTGGTATGTACGAATTGTCTCTTAAACTCCAAGTTTTATTCGTCAATGTGTCAGCCTTGTGCTTGCGTGAGCTTTGAAGAGAAGAAAATGCGAGACTGTTGACAATTATATTGTCTAGCAAAAAAGTCACTTTCGTAAATTGATTTCGATTCGTGGAAATAGCTCCTTTGGCGGTCATTGACTTCATTGCGATTATTCCTTATTATATTGAATTAATTTTTCACCATGACACGGTAATATAATTTATTAGATAGAAAAATTAGAGCTATTATTTATTACAGGGCATGGTTAAGCGGTTGAATATTCGTGGATAAGTTAATCAATCTTGTTCTATTCTCCAATAATGTAGACATATGACTTTCGTTTTACTATCCTCAGACTGTTTCGTCTCCTGCGAGTCTTTAGGGCATTCAAGTATTCGTCGACAATTATTATGACAATTGAAGTGATGATTGTAGCTGTCAAGAGGAGTATGGATGCATTGAGTGCACTGTTCTTCTTCATGGTGACGAGTATTGTCTTATTCTCGACCTTATTGTATTTTGCCGAACGTGGTGAGTATTAGATTATCTGTATTAATTAAGAGTTAAGATGCAGCGACAGTTGTTCACGTTTGCAAATTAGGGACATGGGACGCGGATAAACATGCCTTTGTTGATAGTAATGGAAATCCTAGGTACTAAACTAATTTGATTCAGAGCGACAAGCTTAATTCAAATAATGTTGACGTATTTCATTATTAGCGCATTTGATAGTATTCCATCTGCCTTCTGGTTCGTCATGGTTACTATAACTACTACTGGATATGGTAAGTGAGCTTATGAATTCATCGAGACTTTTTCGGTCACAAAATTGCTTATTTGTTTATCTTTCAGGTGATATGGTTCCGACTACCTTTATTGGTAAATTGATTGCATTCCCGGCAATGATGTGTGGTATTCTGGTACGTGTTATCGTTTTTGCTCGCCGGTTTGCTTAGTTACTAAGCATTGAATTATTTTTACTGTAGTTAATTGCGTTGCCTTCGATTATTGTTGGGAGAAATTTCACGTTGGTATGGGAAGAAATGCGACAATATAGAAGAAACGCTCCAAACGTTAGAGTAGGTCTTTCCCCTTTTGTGTTATGACATAAAACCTTACAGGGTACACTAATCTATCGCATGCTACTATTTTAAGGAACAAGCAAATAATGTTACCTTTATTGAGGACACCGGAACTGGATATACCATGCGTATGCAAAAATTGTCTGTTTTATTCTCAAACGTTTTAAATGTAAAACCGTATTCATGCTCGATGAACGTTTAACAGGTGCAAATGCACGAGCAAGTTTTGAAAGTAATCATTCATATGCTTCCCAGCCTGCTCGTCCCGGCTACGAGACTGCAAACGATGATATACTAGCCAGTCAGGATGCTCTTTTAGAACAAATGCGAACATTAATCACACTGGCTCAACAGAACCAGACAGAATTGAATCGTATTCAAACAGTTCTTGAGCAAAATGGAATCCGATTGAGAACGACTAGCGAAGGGAGTGTCTCCACGGAGAAGGGATTTGCATCTGGTTCTTGACATTGATTGTCTGGAGAGAGTTAATAATATACTATAAAATACAAACCAATTGGTAAATATGTTTATTTAATAATAGATCATTAGAATATGCAAATGGTAACAGCACATGGTTCGTCGCACCATGCTGGGTTAGTGATCGTCGTGGTAATGCTACTTTCTGTACACTATTGATTCTACTTCCAAATAATACGTGTTATAAACTATGTCGGATCGACAGGAGTATAATAGCAAAATTCATTCCTTACTCGTTTCCACCATTCCATAAAAAGTATTAATTTGCTTGTAGTGTTTGACATTTGTCCACGTTTAGCTTAGCAAATTGAAAAGCATGTATTGGGCCTTCCATAAAACAGAAGTGAAACCAAACGTTCGAGCTTAGTTGGGTGTGTCCAAATACAGATTTCTTTGTTGGATTGGATGACTTTTTCAAAAGTTGATTCTGGAGAATGGTTGATGGAGAATGGTCGATAGAGACAACGATTGCCTGTCTAATACATACAGCGCCATTTCTCCACGGTCTCATATTTTAGTTTCCCATTTCTTGTGGCAGGTTAATGTCTCTTCCGTTTCATTATGAAGATGATCAATCATTTGCTTATTTTAATTAATTAAAAAGTCGAAAGGGGGTTTTTTTTTAAATGGTTAGACGCCACAGATATCATTGGTAGTGATAGGCTCAACTTATTATTTACTGTAGGACAGGAAAATGAGCTTTTACGCCACACCGGTCCCTTTTTTCTCCCCGGACGGTCTTGTATGATATCAAAAATGGGTTTTAGAATAGCGTCATTTAAATCGTTTGTACGATATAGATAGGAACTTTTCTCTTTCTCACTGTTATCGTACCAATAATAATAATTATCTAATGGTGGTTCTAATTTGTCCAAAAAGTCGGCATTTTGTTTGCCCTTAATATTTTAGAATTATACAGTGCTACATTTCCAGCGTGACACACACCAATAATTTGTCTTGCCAATAATTCATAGAAATACAAAAAGCTTGCGCTAGTTACATTTACCGAGTATTCTAACCTGGTTTATTCGCGACATTGTTTCCTTTGTTAGAGACGGTTGTATTTGGCGATGCTTTCGGAATTTACTATATATGCTCGATAATCATAAAATTGTTTACCCATTAATTATTTATGCTCAGTCGTTAGCTTTATCCAGCGTTGAATTATCGTTCTGGTTTGTTATCATGAATGCCGTAACGTTCTTCTTCGCCAAGCAACACGTGGATTTTGATCGCCATTGTGTTAAATCTTTCCTCATATAAACAATGAGTACAATTGTTCTTCCCCTATTTGTTGAAACCCCTTCCCCTGACACCCATTTTGACTCCATTATGGCTACGGAGTGTGGCATGTAACATGCCCGTAAATGAATAAATTAATTTGATTCATATGAGGACAAAACCAGTCAAGTAAAAGGCGAACATTCAATCATATGAGCTAAAAGCGACATAATATGATGTGAAAAAGTCAAATAATGTGACTAATGATAAAAAGTGTAGTAGCAAGTTATGGCTTATGCATAATCTATGGCTAATGTACACTAAAACGTGATTAGCATTCAAATTGATAAAGTCAAAACTGATGCAAGCTTTTAATTGCAAAAAAACAACATTTAATTTATTCAAAAACAACAACAACAACAACAACTGCAATGTAGTCAACTATTTCAGCAGTTAAGCACAGACTTTTTCATGTTAATATTAATGTAGAATTATATTTATATAAAATATAGATGTAAAATTACTTTACATTACATTTACCATGAAACCAAAAAATGTAGATTATTAAAGAAAAAAGCAGAGTAAAAAAATTTTGCTTCTAATGTCTTTAAAATAAAAAAAAACCTTAGTATAAAATTTACCAAAAAAATTTTAATAAATCTATGTTTCACGGGCCTTTAAATAAAAGAAGGTTTTTTAGATGCTATTTATAATCAATTACGATTTATTGATCAAGAAAATAATTTATTCGAGACACCTGACTCTTAAAAGCGATAAAAACTCCTCGATATTTGTTTGAAAAAATACTATTTTTGCTAAGGTTTTGACAGTATTGCGTCTAAGACAATTTACTCGGAAGGTAATTGTCTTTTCAGGAATTATATAGAACAGTAATATTAATTATTGCATTCAACCAACTAATTAACCGAGGTTTACGAGCTGTATATTGAATTTAATGTTTTCTTCCGTGTATAGTTATTCGAAATTCAACAATTATACTGGGACTGCAAAACTAATTAGTCCAATAAATATTAACATTTCTGACAAACCACTGACTTAATTGCTAGTGTAGCATTATCCCGTACACTGCAGTTTTAATAAAAATATTTTTGTCTTTTGTAATCCAAACGTTTTAGCGTCAATTATCAATAGATAAAAATTTAATTTTTGGTATATTTAAATACATATTAATATACACTTTTTTTAATAAATTAAAGACAGTAATAAGTAAAGCATCATTATAAAACGTTGAACCCTGACAACTTAAAACCAGTTGTTTTAAAGAAAAAATGTTCCATTAATGAATTATCTTATGGATGTGTCCAAATATCACACCTATAAAAATCAATAGTAATGAGATAAATATAAAATTATCTATAAAAATAACAAAAAACTTCAATAATTTGACCTACAAAGCTTCTAACAGGGTGTATATAGTTAAAGGTGGAATATGCAAAATTTTTCATCAATTTCAAGGAGCAGAATAAGATTGTCCACAAAATTATTTACAAATAATATTCTTTGTAAAGGACAATCAATTTAAACCTTATTACTTACCAAATTCTCCCTAAGTGTCATTATTATTATGGTTTTCTGAATTTTTTTAATGATAAAGTCTTTGCACTCTTTCATTATTAGTATAGGATGGCATATGGCTAATTGGATTACCTGCAGTGCTGACAGTATTTCGAGACTCACTAATCCTCAAATTCAATACATTATAGATTATGTAACTTCAAAGATCGTTAACAATGTTAACGATCAAACTTCTGACTCAGGCTGTGGTAATACTTCGAAAGGACCCATGCTCTGCGAGTCATCTTCAGAGATAAACCTCAAAGCTAGTGTATCACTCGCATTTCAACCAAAGCAAACCTTAACGGAAACTGAGCTAAGTATATTGTCTGAAAAGGTTTCGCCAGAAATACGGGTAAATGCATTTACTGAAGAGACAAAGTCACGAGTCTCTGACTCATCTACATCTGTTTCTGTCTGTTCGAAAAACTTCCATGACTCGGAAGGAAAACGAGTTCATGTTACTAAAATGGTGCAGGAGCGATTTCCCCATTTGTCTTTAGGCACAGTGATAAATACGGTGATAATTTTGTATGTTCAGGAATATGCCCGGCATGTAACAAAGAGCATGAAAACGAGAATATATGGGGAGATGGCGAATATTTCGGTGAAAAAACCTATCGACTTGCATGCTGGGAATCTTATCATAGGGGAATTCCAATAGTAACTGTGAAAGGATGAAGTATTGCTTTTCTAAAGCTGTTACAACATACAATTAAACGTCTAATACGTAACATTTTCGTAAATAATAACTGTATGACTCAAGAGTTGTCCGGGTCTATATATATTTTTATATTTGCGTTATTACGATTAAGAAATTTTTTTTTATCTGGTGAAAATAGACGCTATTTTACTGCCACGACATATCGTAGTTAACATAATTACGTCACCCGTTTTTGCTTCGAACACATAGAAAGTTCACACATTATGCTCCGGAAATAATGGGATAGTCAATCTCTTTTTGTGAAATTACTGAAGGACTCGTATTCTTTATTGTGAACAATTTCTTTCAGATGTCATTGCAAAGTGACTAAGCATCACTAGACTCCTGTAATCAGTGAGAATCCAACGGCAAAACCGGTTAACGGATGAATGCGGCCCGCAGTCTATCTTGTGCGAAAATAATAAGTATTTACCTTAACGTAAGTGAAAACAGACTCTTTGTTGCAATAAATTTGTCCGAATAACAAATTATAAATCGCTTCCTGGCATGACCAAATAACAACTCCATCACATCGTAGCAAAGCTGCGTGCTCTGAGTTTACCACGAAAATCCCTTCTTATGCACCTTCCCGTAAAAGTGACTCACGAATTTTGCTTAGTGCTGTCAATACCGCTCGTCTTCCGTCCGGTTCAGAAAGATCAAAACCTGTCGTTAAACCATTGTCAGGCGGCCATCTTTGAATCTCAAATGACTGCTCTTGTGGTAGACCGTCGACAAGTTCTTTCCAATACGGGGCGGGAATCTCGGCCTTATAGAAAGTAACGTATGTAGAGATTACACGAACAGCCCAGATCGTTTGATCAATATATATTTCTTTTTCAAGAGAACGCGTATTCTCACTCCCACAAGCAAGAATCTCTATAGCGATCTGGGTTTCCCCAAATTTAGTGGCTAATCCGGCTTTTTTGACATTTTTCAAATGTTTGTCCTACTCGGGGAAAAAAATTGTGAGTCTACGAAAGAAGAATTTGATAAAGAAATACTAATGTATACATCTACAACGATAAGCGCAAAGTTCCGTTTCTTCACGACAAATTCGGGTTCTGATGACACACACGTCTCACCATCGATGACTAGTTTGCACGGTGGGTGATTTCTGGAGACAAAACGTAACTTTAGAAAATCGCTAAGGTATTATAATCGTCATAACGCCTCCTTACAAGTACTCACTGAATCTTTAATGGCCAGGTATTCAACCTAACGACACGAAGCAAATCGTCTACTAGCGAGTCAGTGTAGGTTTCGCTTGTCCCTACCGCTTCAAGTGAATTCTCCGTGATATCATGCAGTTTATCGATAAACGTCTTAGCATCATCATCCGAGACTCCCTCAAGATTGCCAACGTTAAAATCTGGTGATCTAAGCAAAGATCTGTTAATCCCGTCAAGAATATATTCCTGTGGGATAGTCGTTACTAAAGAAAGACATTTGAATGGTAAATAGTTGGTTTGCTGAAAGCTTGCTGATAGGCAATACAGCTCATACCTTCAACGCTGGGTATAACATCATTTTCTGAAGCTCCGCGAAACGTTATATTAAGCGCCTCTATATCTCGTTTCTTAAACTTTGATGCCGAAGACGGGAGGTTGACCAAGCTATAACTTGAAGTGGAACTAAGCCCAAGCTTACTACTTGTGGCCTCCGCAAGCACCGAGTCATCTCTAGCGAGACGCTTGGGTTGCTGAGGGGCGGCAGAAGAGCTCTCACTTGCTTTCCGTTTCTTCGAAGTTTGGGACATTCGGGACTGGATAAAAAAATTTTTTTCACGATAGCTGCGTTGATGGCTGACCAATGACCGTATGACGTGTACTTTTGGGGGGGGGGGGGGAGAAACGAACGAACGAGTACTGTTTTCACCATTCTTCTGGCCGGCGGGTAAAACATGCTTATAAAATATTTCCTGTCTTTGCTGTGGTACCACAGGCTGACAGAATATAACTTAATATTAACATTGTTAACGATTAGACATCGGACTCCTGATTTGTCGATTCAAAAATGATGACGCTACTGTTGTCAAGCAGTGATTTTATTGCCGAGCAATGAGAAAAAGGAAAATAAATATATTTTGTTTATTTAGCCTATCTAGCCAACAAAACATACACTGCCTATTTTTCGAGTTTGCGTTTGCGTCGTTCAAGTAATAGAGGAATCAGCAAAAAATAATTAAATAAATAGAATGAAATTACTGGCTCACTTCATGAATAAGAATTATAAATAAAGAATAAACCCGACATTTCTATGTTCTAATATGTACTTTATCCCATCTATGCTTCCAATACCACACACTGATTAAGTGCCCACCTTCATCTAAAAAGATTGTTTGCCGACAGATGACAAGAGCTGAAAAGGAATGCAAGAGGAGAAAGAAGTATTAGTTGTAAACAGATCTTGCTTATGGGCCTTTCAAACGTATAACCCAGACCCGACGCATGTAATGCCTTCCCAATAAACGCGTATTCATTGCTTGCTTACCTTGTATCTGTGTATATTCTTGAGCAGTTTGTTCGTTGGTAAGGTTGGGGTCTGATTGCTTCTTCGTCAGAGTTATGAGACGAGAGAACGTGTTGCGCGCTTATATCTTGCTGTGCATATCACGTTGTGGAACAATTGCAAGCATCAAATCAGATTGTCCCCCTGTGATTGATGAATACAGTTATTTGACAGTTGGCGTAACCCACGAATGCCAACGCGAGTCCACATAACATTTGTTATACAGTCAAACTCCGATATAGTCAAGCCTCGATACAGTAAATTTCGCATTATAGTCAAGAATTTCTCTGATACAAAAACAGTATTATTAAAACTTCCCTCGATATAGTGAAGTTATATAGTAAACCTCGTTATTAGATATTCAAGTTTTTCGTCAAACAATATTAGTAGATTGTCTCTCGATATAGTGAATATTGTACCACTTGATGTATTCATAATACAGCACATGATGAATAAAAGCAGAGGAATTTTAAGAATCTTAAGAGAAAGATTTTTTATATAAATAAATTTTGTTTTTCCGGCGTTTTGTATTAAATGTAAATGAGATTTCAAGTCATGAGATTCGAAACTCCGAGAATTATAAATTAATTTCAGATTGGCTCAAAATATGAACAATATTTATCGTATCAAAAATCTTCAAAAAAATTGTCTAAATTACAGTACGATCAACGTAAATTAGACCAATTCCATTATAATAAATGACGCAAGTTACTATAAAAAATCTGGTACAGTTCAACCATAATAATAACATAAAAAATCTTTAAATACTATTCTATTGTTGCGATGGAGCCTTTAATTGATTTGTTATATAAATATAACTAATACATTGATTTACGCGACCAATGTTTACATGTTTGTGCCATACATTTAATTGACATTATGCCAAGAATATTATAAATAATTAACAATACGTAAATCATTATTTATAACCAAGTTCTTAATACAAGTAGAATATTTCATACAATAATAATGCATAATCAGTAGTACGAGTAATCTTTTATAACGTTCCAGCAACGTTGTTTAGTAATTGACAGTCATAACAACACGAGAAAACATAATCCGATATTAATTTTGTCTAACAGTTGTAGAAACCTGTCAGTATGTTTAACTAATAGTTTTACGATAGTTGCTTTTTCTTATCAATTTTTATTCTCATACCAGGTTTTTGAATTAAGGAACTTAGTTGCTTTCAAAGTTTATTTTTCTGCATTCGTTATGTGTACATTTTTTATTGTCGAGTTTTTTTTTTTAAAAAATTAATTAGCATTAAACATGTTCATATCGATATAAAAATAACAGTAATAATTATCGTTTGTTAGAAAACAAATGTCGTAATGGATAACAGAAATTTCGTCCCCGAAAACAATTAAATTGATAACATCCTTCCATAGCATGATTTTGGAATGTCCAGATTTGCCTGCTGATAATTTCGAAAAATTAAAAACGGTATCAGTAAGCAAACTTTACAAGACTGCAGCTTTAAATAAGAAACTGCTAAATTAAATTGTCATTACTCGAAATTTTTTATTTGTCATAAAATTTTTTTATACGTTATTTGTTGCTGAAAACTGTTGTGCAAAGTTCTCTTCATAATCGCGATATTTCGATTAAATTTTACCATAAAAATTTCATTCTCATTACAAACATTATGCGTCTATTAAATCCATAATTTAAGCTCGCTCGTATACCACCAAATTACTCCACAAAATCGTATGGACCTAGAGCACATCGGCACCAATTCTATTTTACAGACAAAACTTTGTCAATTCGACTTGCCTCAATCATAGTTAAATCTTTGTTAAATATTTTGAGTCACTAAGTGATAGGACAATAGACAGACGTTAATATTGTAAATGGCTTTATTTTCAAACATCAAACATGTAAATTACCTGCAACTGAATCGTAACTGTTCCTCGGTTCGGGTAAATCGCCTGTAGGTAGAAGCTTACTAGAGTATTTACTCTCCTTCTCGAGACGTGATAGAGGCGTTACATTACTATGATAGATAGTATTCCACACGACGTCCGAATCACCGCTTTTCAACCTCCTAATAAGCCTGAACATATGAGTCCAAAGTGTCTCCGCATCTGGACGCTTATCAGGATTAGCCTCACAACACCATTCGGCAAGCTTTTTGTACTCTTCTGGTGCTGAATCAGGTATTGATGGTCGTAATCCACCCATAATATCGCATGTTAAGCCCCTATCAAACTGTCTATCTCTAAAAGGCGGTTCACCAGAGGCCATCAAATACATAATAATACCGAACGAATATATGTCTGATTTCTGAGTAAATTGGTAAGTATGGAAGACTTCTGGCGCAATAAAGGGTAAAACTCCTCGAATGTTTGAAATCTGTTCGCGTGAATTTGCTGATTGAGAAAGACCAAGATCGCATATGAAGGAATGTATGTCACGCGTATTGTCGTGCATAACTATATTCCCGCCATGAAGATCGCAATGCACCAAGTCCGCACGATGAATAGAACTCAGATAATCTGCAATATTCCACAAATGTTGTAATTTCATCTTCCACGTCAATCTGTTAATATTTTGATCCAAATAAGACAAAAGACTACCATTGTTGGCATATTGCATAACCATCATGTACTCTTGTGTTTCTGAGTCTTGTGTGACTCCATAAAGATGAAGGAAATCGCTACGCACACACTTGGCATGATTTCTAAGCTATTAAATAAAAATAAACAGAATTCGATTAAACATTACGTGAGTCAATTTAAATTATGCTAATATCAAAAAAAATGTTTACCTCGTTAACAAATAGATCCATCATATTAATATTATCAAGACTCTGGAAACGTTTGAGCACAACAGTTTCTGGCATATGCTTTATTTCTGAATACTTTTTATATTTTGCGGTATAGACTGTTCCATAACCACCAACTCCAATCTCTCTGAGTTCATAAAAGTCGCCATACTGCATATACTTTACGTTTGATCCTGTAATAGTAACCTCTTTCAACATTGAATGTATTTCGTTGTAGAAAACTAAATAATATGCTTGAGTAGATGGCTCTTGAGTTATTCCAATTATCCAAATATTCTTAGGGGCTAATATATCTGGATATTCCTGAGTTAGCTATTCGAACAAACAAAACAATCATTACAACACAATAATCAATACAAGGTACAGTGTATACAGTATATTATCAAATAATTTACCTGAACAAAATCAAATTGATCATCCTGTTTGTCAGTTATTTTTTTGAGCATCACTTGCATCAATTCGTTTGCCGTCGGTTCTAACCAATTCGCTATGCGAGTGCATCCATGGTGTAATGAGGTCATTTCTCGTACGTTCATCAATGTGGAATACTCTATCCATTGTATATACGCATCATATTTATTCTTCGTATTACTCCATGACTCTGTAATAAATGAATCCAACGTCTTGTTACCCGTAGTCCAATCTGCTTGTCTTGGTGCTTTACACTCATAACAGAATAGATTTATCTTGGGTTCTAGCCGCTTTGTACACGCCCGACATAATTCATCTCGTTGATAGCCGGGGTTTAGTTAAACGCAAACACTTTCTTTGGCAGAGTTTGGCTTTGCTTTTTTATTGCAACTTCCATACATTCTCAAATATATGAGTAGACGTAGAAATGAACTGTTACCTACAAAATTTGTGTAAAGGCACGTATATACAAAGCTAGAAATGCTCGCTAGCACGACCACAGAAAGATGATAAACGTACAATTGCTCAATATACTAAGAACGTTCTTTCGCTTGCGACTTTACTGTGGTGGTCGGAAGCCCGTTTTCTGCTATTGACGCTCACGGAGATCTTGGAGCATTGGCTAAAACCCCATAGTGCACATGCCATAACTGATCGAGATCTTAAAAGATTTTATCGAGACCAAGCGTGATTTTTCTATCAATATTTGTCATCCAAAACCAGGAAAGAACATAAAGTGATTCGACTGTTTGAGGTATGCTAAACAATATATTCTGTGAGAAGAGGGATAAGAGTGGAAGATTTAGCATAATATGATACGGTCATTTTTCGTTTTCACTTAACGTCCAACAAGAACTCAGTAGCTCGAAATCATCTTCACTGCTCATCGTTCGATTACAAAGCACAATTATTTCTTCGATCGAACCCCAGAAACCCGGAAACTGATACGTTACTTGAACAAGCTCAACAAATTTGAAGACATATGCCATGTAAGGTTAGCTATTTCCATCTTCTTGTGTATGATTTCCGGTCATGGCAAGTCATTGGCT